AAGGAGCTCTAACCAGGATGTAAATGAGATATGTTATATGCGAGCAGCCTCTTGACAGAAGGAGTGAAAAATCTATAGCAGCGAAAACGTAACAGAAACTATTCCTCACCCAGCTGAAAATAAACTATACGGTGCTAGCTATCTATTTTCAGTTAAATCTCAGTAGATTAAGTTAACTAATTAAGGAGCTCTACAGATTAAATGAGATGTATTGCAGCAGCCGCTTGACAGAAGGAGTGAAATCATAGCAGCCCACGTAACATAAACATCCCTCACCAGCCTGAAAATTAAACTATACGGTGCTAGCTTATCTTTATTCAGTTAAAATCTCGTAGATAAGTAAACTATTAAGGATCTTACATGATGTAATGATATATTTATATGCGAGCAGCCTTTGACAGAATGAGTTACCAGCTATGCAGCGAACGTACATAAACTTTCCCTCAACGCTCTGAAAATGAAACTTACGGTGCTACTTATCTTTAATCAGTTGATCTCAGTAAGATTAAGTTAAACGAATAGGCGTCTAACAGGATGTAAATAATATGTTATGCGAGCGCCTTGACAGAAGGAGTGAAAAATCTATAGCACCGAAACGTAACATTAAACTATTCCCTCACCCAGCTCTGAAAATTAAACTATACGGTGCTAGCTTATCTTTAATTCAGTTAAAATCTCAGTAAGATTAAGTTAAACTAATTAAGGAGCGAACTCATAAAAGTGTCAGTCATATACTGACGAATCTAGTCCCGGTTTTATAGATTCCAAATATTTCCTGTGAAAGCTACTGATATGTTGTTCTTCGGTCAAGTTATTCTTTTTAATTCTTTTTTACATCACTCAGCAACGTCAATGTAGTCAACATTACCACCTGTTTCCTGAAATATAAAAATTATGTACCTGAACGTTTTTTTATGGTTATTTGTGTATTCTTATGTGTTCATTCTCTATACTCACTTGCAAAGAATTTCCTTTTTTTATGTCTAAAGCTATTTAAGACTTATAATCGTATCCTGCGGATTCCATGCACATATTATCCTACCCTTTGTAATCACCCAAAGGAATTCCATACTTCCTTTTAATTTCTTTCAAAGGCTGTAACAATGCCCCAAATATTTACACAAGCTGTGCGTTAAATAACATTCAGTAAATTGATATTTGAAGTTTAATCACGCTTTTGAGCAATAATATTCACAATATCGAAGAAAAGAGTAAAACAAGTCGACCTTTAATAAATAAATATTACTGTTATAAAATTAATTCATGTTTTGTAATTCAAATTATTTTGCAATATATTTCCAAGGTTATAGCTATGTTTTCATTATTTAAAACAGATTAAAAATTCAATGGAAGAAGAATTCAGAGGCTTCTTTTTTATTATGTAAAACAAATAAATAATTCAGATAAATGAGAAACTCAAAAATATACTCAAAAATAATAACTCTTTATACTCAAAAATAATACATAGAGGAATTCTGTCATCATTTTATGTGATCAAAAAATATGACGGAAAATTTGTAATCAATTCTAGAGCTGCCAAATTTCCTTCCGGATTTTGTGCTGTATGCAGGAATTTTAAACTATAATCCAGAACTATAGTTTGAAAACTAACGAAATGATATTATTACGAAATGTACAGGTACGGTGGGATAGCTCCCCCTAAAAGCAGTTTTAGGGTTGCCATAAAATGGCAAGGGAAGGCAGGATTGCCACATTTGGCGTGAAATCGCCCATTTCGGGACATTTTGCGACAAAATTAACGATATGCCATGGACGGATGGAAAACCTTCTGGAACGAATTCTTACCGGTTTAGCCAGAATGATCTCGAACACAAGCCCAAAAACTATATAAACCCTGCTGGTTCGCGGTCCGTTAGAGTCTGCTTCATCGAGAGGGCGAGTGAGTGTGCCTCGTCTAGTCAGCATCTAGTTTGTGTCTCGTCTAGCGAGTCAATCCCTGCGGAGTCGATCGAGTTGACAGCCGGGCAGCGAGTGCCGAGTGGATCGTCGAGTTCACCGAGGGAGTCTCTTATTGTATCGCGGTTAGTGCATCATCGAGAGAGCGTGTTGAGCTCCGGGAACCACTGAACCAAAAAGTCGGGAGCTGTGCTCTGTGTGTCGTCGAGTGCATCGCGAGTTGCAGCGTGGAAAGTCTCGAGAGTACGAGATTCGAAACGACAAGCAGAGTCGGGAGCTGTACTCTGGTGCTTTGCAGCGAAGCTGTCTCCACCGTGATAGTCTGATAATCTGAAGGCTGTGTAGCTGATTGTTCCAGCGAGTGTATAGTAGATCGTCGACAACTGTAAAAAGTATGGAGCTGCCCTGATCCTGGTTCATATTGGCTAAATAAAGTGTGTTTCGATACTTCATCAAGTGTCGTCGTTATTCACTCCAAATCTACGAACCCCGTACGAACGTGAAGGAAGAAAATAACATAATAACTGGTGTCAGAAAATAACGTTAACAACTGGTGTCAGAAAATAACGCAACAATATTTAGGTTAATAAAAATTACATAAAGTAAATATAAATAAACAGCGAATTCTATTGAATGGTATCAATCTACGAACTATTGAATTTACTATTAACCTCTGAATGTAAGAAATAGGTATATAAAAGAAAGAAATTTAGAACCAATTTTTTAAAGACCAAAATTTGAAATTCAAATGAACTTGAAAAAATCCTAAAAATTATTTATTTCTGAAATAAACATATATATGTAGATATAAAAAATATAACTCAAACTTATTAACTTTAAGTTTGGCATTAATCTTTTTAATTCCTCATTTTAATTTGGCTATCTTCCCTTTCTGTTCTAAATTGTTTATAACAACTTTCTGAAATGCGTCTGCCCAAACTATTTCGTTCACGATTGCATCTGCAATTCTCGTGCGTTGCAGATGGCCCTTTTCCAAATATAGGGCTTAATATTTCAACAAAGACCGAAATCTTCAAATATCTCTATTACTATTACGCAGCCTTTTCTTCTGCTTTGCCTTAATACTAGCCGCACATAGTAGTGCTCCACTTCGCCATTGTTGTAAGGTGTATAAAACTGTGGAAGGGCACACGCACATATAAAAGTGTGAATTTGTTTTGTCAAGGAATGATCTATTATGAAAATAATTATGTCTTTAAATCAACGGCCACATCCGAAAGCGTTTTCTTCTTTGTTTTCCCGTTTTAAGTATGTAAATCTCATCTTAAGTATATTTTACTAATCCTGAAGTCATCTACATAATTATAATATTTTTAATATTCTCATTTTAGACAAAACTAGAAGAGCCTACAGCTTTCTCGAAATACAAACGTATCCATGTGCTTCGCAAATCCACATTATGTTACTGGTGTATTATTCAGAAAAGGTTAAACGGATGCTCTGGCAGTTACGTATAAAGGCTTCCGTTCCTTGTAAAGGAAACTGGTTTTTTTTTGGCTGCGCTAAACATTCTATTACATTAAAATAAATTAAAGTTTCACTCCAATATGTATAAAATACTGAACAGAAATATTAATTATATATAGAAAAAAGTTAATTTGTTCATGAATGATTTCTGTTTATTCGGGAGCCTTTAAAATATACCTTGACATATTCTAGTTTTGCATACATTATTAATTAATTTTAAATATATTACGATATTATGTATAATTTTTGAAAATTATTTAATTATTATTTACTTCCATATTTATTTTATTCTTGAAATAATTCCAAGATTCTTAAAAATTAATTCAAAATTTTTAAATAATAAACCAAATTTCTAATTAGTTATAATTAAACTTCCCTAAAGAAAGTAATTTAAAGCCTTAAAACTCCTTACCTACTTTTTCAAACCATTAAAATTCAAATTTCCAATTCCATAAAATTCAGTCTGTTACCTTCATAAAACAGTGCAACATATTTTTAAAATTCAGTATAGTAATAAACCCACCATTATATATTTAATTCAAAATTACAAGAATTAATTAATGAATTACTTTTATCATACTAATGAAAAAGTATATTATTAGCAAAATAAACTAAAGTATACTAACGAAATTTATAAATGAAAAGCCTTTTGAAGAAAATATTGAAATATTAATCATTCATTCCCTCAACGATGAATTTCGTGTTTTTTTAAACAGAAAAATTGAAATAACTATAAAAAAATACTTGATGAGAACTTTAGAATCCATAATTTATTTCTAAATTCTGTATCAGTGAAGTAATTTTAATTTTGAATACTTCTATTGAAAGAAAATAATTATTGAGCAGCATTACCGACAAATATCATCTGTTAACCGTAAATCAAATATAAATGAATTCAGCAGGCATGAAGGCACTTTCGATTTGATGACCCTAAAATTGATGCTAATGATTAGCTCTTGATACATTAACTGGTTATGTAAAGGTTTAACATTTTTTTTCGTTTCTAAATATTGAAGATGTGGCCGAATAAATTTCTCATTGTGTAACAAATTTTCCATCTCGCTTTTGAGGGATCCTATCAATTTTATCTTTGTGATAGAGCAAAGCTTATACGCATTAACAGATTCACACAGAATCATTTAAGAGTACACTTTGCACCATTCAATTTTATACAGCTTATTGCTCTTAAGACAATGGAGAAGAGGAGCAACTAGCAGCAAGGCGAAGCGGGAAAAAAAGAGCTGCGCAATAGTAACAACGACACTATCTAAAGACTTGGATCCTCTGTTTCAATTTTGAGGTGTGCGATTGAGTGGAAGCTATCAGCAATGCAGCATGATTATACAAGAAACATTTACATAAAATATACATGAAACGAAAATGAAAATGAAATATACATGAATTTGATTATACATGAAACGAATTTATTTCGAAAGACGCAGTCCAGAAAAATTATTATAAACAATTTGAAACAGAATGGGGAGATAGCCAAATTAAAATGAAGACTAAATGGAGTATGGCCAAATTAGAGTTAGTACTTTTGACTACTAATTCATTTACTTTGCACCTTAGACGCATATATGTGTACATACCCCCACACACGCAAACATAATTTTTCGCTGTATATGAAACTGAGCTTCAATTGTTCTTTCTTGATCCTTTGACGCAGCGTTTGAAGGAGTGAATTCTAGACCTCTACTTTCCCTGCAAAGATGAAGAGAATTTGTATTTCAGTACAATTGGCAGAATTTTATCACCTTTGCAGCGTGAAGAAGACTATTGGGACTATTTTCGCGTTTTGGACGAAAACCTCATACATATGTGTGTATACATATATAAAAGCTTAAATAAAGGACAATTAAGCTCGAAACCAAACCATAATTTTGCTCTGTAAACTGCATTAATTCATAGGTAATATTTTAAAACTCAAAACCATACAGTTAGTATGGTTTTGAGTTACATTAAATATCATATTCAGTGCTGGCATAATTAATTGCAAAGCAAGAAACTATTGTACTAAATTAACTAGAAAATTACAGCTGTTCCAAAATATCCTGATAAATCAATTCTGTGCAAAATTAATTTCCTACGAAAATTACCAAGTACTACACTAGATTATTTATTGGCTGGCAACTGTATATAGATTGACTTTTTCTTCAAAGATTTTCGTCATCTACTTACTAAAATATTGACATTTAAGACATTCAAAATTGTATACGAATGTATGATAATGAAGGGAGGAGTAATAAACCAGCATGGTATTTTATTAATAACACTTATTAAGACGCAATAACACGCCGAACAAATACTAATTCAGAAGTCAAACAACAAAAATCAGCATTATATTTTCAAATTTTCACAAGACTAGTTTCGATGGATTTACCGAACCACCATCCTCAGCTGCAAAAGAGCAAATGAACGAGATGGGATAAAATGATTAGACAAGATAAGAAAGCCTGAACAGAAAATAAGCTAGTGGCGCCATCTGTTGAGGAAACCAGAACAAAAATATAATTTCTTTAAAGGCGAAGGCAAAGATGGACTGGAATTAAGATCGTTAACTAGAACAGAAAGATTTTTTGAATGTGAAATGCCTCTAGAAAATCTAGTTCTCCAAGGAAGATGTTTTTTGAATAATTTTGGCAGCAGAAAAATTGAAAGTGTGATTTTTCGGACCAACAATGTTGGGCAACAGAAGACTCCTGTTTTCCTTTTTTATAACATATGACTCTTTCCTTGACGCGAAATTTAAGCTTCTTAGTTTGGCCAATGTAAATTAAACACACTGGCAAGGAATCTATAAATACCCAGGAATTCATATCGGAATGGGGCCTTAAGTATGAACTCGGAATTTTATTGATGGGAGAATTAACGACCCGAAAGTTTTGCAAAATATGTGCAAATTTATAGCAAATTGACGGAAAGAAGGCAATGACAACATAATTTTTATAATCTACTAAAACAAGAGTGTGCCTTTTAATGTGTTGAGATGAGAATTTTTTAACTGCTTGATTAAAAATGTTGGGTGAAAAGCTAGTCAATAGCTATTGCTTTTAAATAATTTAGTTCTTCATCAAGGGATAGTTTGGAGGAGCAAACTTGAAGACACGAAACATAGGAATAAATGAAGCTAATTTTGTTTAGTCGGATGAAATGATTTTAAAGTGTGTGGAAAGCAAACCGATGAAGGTTTACGGTAAACCTTAGTACTGAAGTTGGATGTGTTACGCGTGACCAGAATGTCGAGAAACGGAAGAGAATTGCAAGTCTCAAGTTCAAAAGTGAACTGAATAACAGGATCAATAGAATTCATTGTTGAAAGAACTTTATTTAAATCATCTTTATTACTTTCAAACAGGGTAAAAGTATCGTCTACGTAGCGGAACCATACCGAGAAGTTTAGTTTTATTTTGATTCATAATAATGCATGTAGATATCAGCCAGGATGGGACTGAGGGAGCTTCTCATGCCTAATCCCTCAGTTTGCTTGTATATTTATTTTGCAAAAAATGTGTTTGTTTCAAACAGAGTTGAATGAGGGTAATGAGCTCATCAATTTCGATGCAAGAGAAATGAATTGACGAAGTTTGGTTTCTACACATCTTAATACACCTTCTACTTTAACATAATATGATTTTACATCAAATGAAACCATGAGTAAATTTCTAAGAGAAATGCTTTTAACTTTTTTACAAACCCTATGGATTCTTTTATGGTGTAAACATTATTATCTGTTAGAGTTGAAAATCTATAAATTACTTATTAGAGTTATTACTTATTAGAGTTGAAAATCTATAAATTAAATATTTAGCTAATGGGTACGAGTCAGTGCCTAAATTTGATACAACAGTGCAGAAAGGAATACAATTTTTATGAATTTTGGGAAGAGCATATAATCTGATACAATTCGCAACAGATGGGATAAGCGAATGTTTTAAGTTGTTTGAAATGATTTGTGAAGATTTGTTCGCAGTTTTTTATTTTTGACATGTCCGTTCCTATCCTCCTCGTTCCTATCTCGTTCTTTTGCAGCTGAGGATTGTAGTTCGGTAAATCCATCGAAACTAGCCCTATAAAATTTGAAATTATAATGCTGATTTTTGTTGCTTGACTTCTGAATTAACACTTATTAACTCCAAGGTAGCCGCAGAGCAATTACAAATTAAATTTTATTTTACTACCCTGCCATTAATGGAAAATCTGCATCTGCATAATTCGGTGCTCACTCATGCAAAGATGTTAAGTGAAGAATGATGTTTGGTCTTCATGAATTTTAAGTATGAAAAGGCAGATTAACATAAATATGTAGATTTAGAACAAGAGGAAATATATCTGTTTTATTCTGTAATACTGGGATACTAGATTTGCATATTTCCAAAGATATTTCTCAAGTTCTCAGGCTTATAAGCTTACATCAGTTATTAGAGTTATTCATTTCCTTACGTGTTTTTTGCTTTCAGTATTAAACGTATCATATTTTTAAAGGCAATATAGTTTACATTTAAATTTGTTTTAAAAGGAAAATACAGATTCTTCTAATAACTGATGAATCCTGAAATCTGCATCCAAGTCTTCAATTACGTCTTAAATTTTTTCAGTGCAGTTTTCATACCATAATTACAATTTCGATGGTTTTGTAGTGATTATAGTTTGAAGGTGATTCAAATTGTTTTGTTGTATATCTGCAACTAGTATAATAAATTATGTTTGGTCCGTCTTAATGCTAGTTATCATTTCAAATATTGCTGGGGTTTTTCCTTCAGTGTATAAATTTTAGTCATTTGATTTCAATGTAATATCAATAAGAAAAACCAAATCATTGAGAAAACCAAATCATAAAAAAAATTTCAACATTGCTTATGTGTCTGTTCGAGAAAAACCTTTTATCATAGTTATTAAATCATGAAAACGTTTCAGAAATTTACTTCTTCTTAGACATCTCCGTATCATATGTAAAAATACTTGTGGCTGTCCTTCAGTCGCAAGTATTTTTACATAAGATACGGTTGGTAAAAACGCCATTTCAGGGAATTTTCCTCGACAGGAATTAAAAATTTTGAACTTTACGTCCATTATTTCTTTTGCATTTAAAATTTTTTTCGCTAATACTCGTTGCTGAATTATGCAGTGGTACTTAAAGAAAACGTACGAATGTTTCATCATTTTGGTAAAGTGTTGATCCATTTATGCAGCCTAACATTTCTCTTGTTCCACCGGGTTTTATTTAAAAAATCTAATGTGGATATCATATGGCTTCTTTGTGCAGCCTATTAAATTATACCAATTTTTTACTTTTGCTTCACTACATTTAAACTTCCTGCCTCGAATTACTCTAACTTCCTCGAATTATTCTAACGGAAATGTAGGCTGCGTAAGAGCTTTTAAGCCGGGTAAGGGTTAAGCATTTTATTGGCCTTTAATTGCAAATTAAATTTTTTAGGCAGTTTGAACTAGATATATTTCTTTTAAAATTTTTTCAGCTTTTTTGAAACTTCATTCCTTTTAAAGACACTGCATTTGTTCTTGCCATTTTTCTTCGAGAATTTTAGGATGTTGATTAGAATGATTTTTAATAAAATTCTTTGTTTATTCTACGTAACCTTCTGCATTTGCTTTCGTTTAGACTTGGGAGAGTTTCCTTTAGGATTTTTTTTTTTTAATTTTCGTAATTTTCGATAGCTTCTTTTGTATCTTTATAAGCTTTTAATATAAATGAGAGCAATCTCAGCAGCTTTTAGTTCAAAGTTTCTGTTTTTTTTTTTTTTTTTTTTTTTTTCGTGTCAGATTAAAGCTAATTTAACACGCATTCGAGAGGCCTTTTTTTTAGGTTTTAGATACTGACCATTTTAATTTTTTGCTTGTTTTATTCAGGGTTTCCCCCAGTTGCATATGATTGTAATTAGTTTGTTTGGCCTTTTTAGGCTTTTTATGCATTTTAGTTTTTTAGGTCACTGGCTAAAAATAATTTCAGCGGTTTTTATTTGAATCTTTTTATGTATTTTTTAATCTTAATTTTTTCTGTGCGTTTCTGTCTTCTTAAGTATTGTTATTCTGCTGTCCGGCAGGTTGCGAAAGCAGTAGGGAAAAGGTCTGAGCATTTGTGAGCCACAGTTATTTTAAATCCAAAATTTATTTCGAAAAGTACGCTCCTGGATCTCAAATGTCTCAGAGGAACGAAACTTATATTCGGAACTTATTAATCAACTTCGTTTGGGGTTTCAAAACACTTTTCCCTTGATAAGTTCTGTTTGAAGAGTTGAACTTAAGGAAATCAAAATTTAATATTTAATTAAATTATGCTTTCAATATTGTTTCAATACTTGTAATTTTTATTTATGCTACCTTTGGGTACGACTTTCTTCGAGATAAAAATGGTTAGGACCTTCATTGGAAAGAAATTATAAACTTGCACTTAACGTAATGCTTTAACGTAAACTTGCACTTAACGTCAAAACAGAGAAAGCTAATCCAGTTTATCCGCAAATTTGCTACAATCATTAACAGCAATAAATAAACAACTGAATTGATATGCTTTCCTCTAGCTTTTATAAGCTTTTTAACCATGAAGAGAAACTTCTCATATTTTCCAGAATTTTCTGAATATTAAAAGAGGACAATTACTAGATATGTATTATTACAATATTAGATGCGCGTGCTCCTGTATTTATTTTTTCCGGCGAAGCTTTTTCTTCAACTATGTCTCG